AAAACTTTTTAAGAGTTCAAACAGATAGGTATCCGACTGATGGCTGATAGAGGGTTGCGGTAGGTCAAATATACAACTACAACTTCTCTACTAAATTAAATGCTTACCGAGTAGAAATATCCTCGGTACGAGAATATCAAGTGATGAGTCGTGTATCACAAAGTGACTGACATCAAGTGATAGATGGCAGGGCACTCATCACCCACCCACAGCCCAAAAAATTAAGTTTAAACGGAAAATAACTATAAAAACCTGTATGAGTCATATTGGTGTTTGTTGGTTCGTTTTAAAAAGGAACCTCTGATAATTATATTACCCAGTTGTTTGATTAATAAACAGTTTCCGCAAATAAGTGGTGACTGCAGAAAATTACTCTTAGAGTTCAAATGCAATTTACCGCATATTTAAGAACTTAACAACCTTCTAAACATTAGGGCAAATAGAAGCATTCAAGGTTATATATTGCAGATATGTTGTGGCGTAATTTAATTACCTTATTTTTGATGACGTTAATATAAATTTAATTACCTTATTTTTACATACTAGTATTGTGCGAAAACCAGAAAACGTAGTTATCTATGGTTGGAACGGTGGCCAACGAAATTTAATTCTTTGTTCTTTCTTTATTTTATGTATATAATAAGCACAGTTCCACAGTTATTGGTTATTGCTGGCGGTTCATATGGGATACCATTTGTATTTCGGTTTTGCAAAATAGTCTGGCTGAATCCCAGTTTGTTGTTTTTATAAAAAACAACTATTTAATAGTGGGGAATGTATGGCATAGTTCGCCGAGGGGTAAGGCGTTTTCTGTGGATGATTTCCGGTTCAAAAATAGGCTGATATCCTTATCCTTATTTTGAGTTATTGCTAAAATAGAGCTATTCAGAGCCAAGGCAACATTTTTCGAAATTTGTCTTTTCTTGTACGATTAGCCGTCAATAACTCATCACCCGGGTTGAACATTTAACCCTTTATGGCCCAATGTTGTCCTCATGCAACAAAATATTTAAGAGCTTATATTTAATAGACAAAATATGTAATATATCAAAATATAAAAAAAATTATGAGCATTTTAATATAGAGAAAAGGTCAATTTTGTGTACAGTACTAATTTATGTATACAGTCCAAATTATTTATATTGCTTCGCATTCGAATTGTACGAATTCTTCCATCAGAATTATTTTTGACTCTTGTTAAAAATAATATAGAGAATAATTTAAAATGATTTTTCCGTCGATTTTGTATTTGGTTTTCTTGATATTGGACTTTCATTTTTCAGAAAGAATGTACTGTATCTCCCGAATGCAAAGATGTAGCGATGCCAAATTTTGTTCATATCCAATTTAGGGTAGTTACATTGAATCTGTGAACAGAAAATTGTGTTATGATTAGGGAAAAAATCGGGGCACAAAGGGTTAAAAATATTATTACTTTTTTTATTTTATACAAAAAAATTTGACCCACTTAATATTGACCGATCATTATGAAAAAAAGTAATTTTCAATTCTAGATCCGTTTCAATTCCCTGTGTAAAAATTTTAATGTTCGACTAATAATTATGGCCTATAGACAGACTAGAAACCCTGAAAAAATAGTTTTAACTTCCAATTGTAACTTCTTGAAAAATTTCATAGTGATCAGCGTCATATTTCATTCACCAAGTGTTGTAATAGGTTACTAAATACATAATATATTATCCTACAAATATTTAAGTACTCCCACATTCAGGTAGATACATCAATTGGTATCAATTTAATGGTTAACAACTCTTCTTGGATATACTATCAACTTCACCGGTATATGTCCTCCAGGAGAAAATATATACGCTATAGAATGCAAATTTTGCTATTTTTCACACAAACGTCTGGACATTTGATCAGCTAAATATTGACCAATTATCATAAAAAGAGTTTTTGGTCAATAGTAAAATTACTAGATGATTGGTTCAAAATGGTAGCCGGTAGCATATTCATAAATTAATTAAGGTGAACATAATTCCCCTTTATTAGAGGACAATCAGTGGTAAGTTTTATATAAGTTACCGAAATAAACATTCGTCGCTGAGAAATGCTTGGTTAGCATTTTCCCACAATAAATGACTGTAAGTGCATCGTCGGCACATTTTGAAAAAGCACCACCATGAAATGAAAGACAAAACTAAGACTCGGCAGTCTTCCATCGAAACTCAAACTTAAAACAAGCAGCACCAACAAGTAAAGGAACTTGAGCAGCAACAACAACAATAACAACAACATTCAACGTTATTCTAATAATAATAATTTCAATAACTAATACTTAAGAAACAACAACAATTAATGTTATTCTAATAATTTTAGTGAAACACTTAATACTTAATAAATAATAATTAAATAAAGATAATCAAGAAATTAAAACAAATAACTTATATATTTATAATATTATTTTTATTCATATATCAAACATAATAATTTTGTAAAATATATATAATTTGGAATAAAATGTCTTGTGTAGAAATCGTAATCATATGTTTAAACGTATGAAAGTACATAATTGTATGCCATGCATTAATGTGCAATTTGCTTATGCTTGAAATGAGCTTTCATTACTGCATGTCACAAGTGACGTAAATCAATGTAATCATCGTCATCGTTATGACTGAACCGTACCAAAAAACAAAAAAAAAAGCATAAACTAGATCAAACGTCATCATCATCACTTTGCATTGCTCTCCATATTTTTAACCATTGTGGACAGTGAGTATAGCTTATGAGTACTTTTGCAGAACACTTGCACACTCACACACATGTGTATACAATCCACATATGCATTTGTACGGCAACCACTGAGCAAGTCATCTTGTCATTGTACCAACAATTCAGTCAGTCAGACATTCAGTCAGTGAATGAATGACAAACGTCAATTGAACAGAATTTCCATTCGTTGTAAATTAAGGACACGGACATTTGATATTTCTCCATGCACCCCTCACCTGCTGCAAATATTTGTTTGAGGGCGTATGTGTGTGAGGGGATTGGCTTGAAACCCTTGCTCTGTCAAATGCTGTGCATATCCATTGACCGTTCAACGAAGTGGTAGAAAAATGCAATTAAATCCCTGGAAATAAAAAAGAACCTGTAACGGCCACCCATATTTTTCAAAGAATTTTAACAGAGAATGGATTTATGATGACGTTGGCAATGAAACGAATAAGCCCGACAGCAAACGTTGACAACAGCCATCATCGTCCTTATTATGGATGAGAACGAAGCGACGACGATGATGCCAGTGCCGATGATGATGTCGACTCACTAATCAAATTTCAAATCATTGCAAGCGTATAAAATTTAACTGAACTGAAATCGACCACTGCCATCCATGGTCATCAATCAGGTGGCAATAGAATGGAAGCCACACTCACACATTGAGGCCATTTACACAATGCCAAGTTGTAATCGGTTCGCACACAATCGTTGTTGTATATATTAGTCGGTACTATGCCAACAATTTGTACAACATACTCGTCGTCTAAGCCGTTTAAATAGCCATAGAAGATTGAATTTTTATTTGCCAATACCAATACTTGTTGTTAGTATTCGAATTCAATGTTACTATCAGTGTTACTGGTTGTTAACTGGAAACAGTCAGTCATTCATTCCGACATTCGAGTAGTTTGTGGAACTTTTTTGTGCGTCCCTTATTATGGCATAAAATCAACTTTTCACAACGAAATTTTGGTATTAAATAAAGCACAACTCAAATGCCAATGCTTCGAATTCTATGCAAACTTGTTATAAAACCATTGATAGAAAATAAAGGTATTAAAAAAAGGGAACGGTATGAACTGGCACAGCATATACCCTATAAGATGTTATAGTGCAGATATTTTGGAATGGCATTCAATTGAATGGCAAATGAGGAATAAGGCAAATTGGGACCAGAATTTTGCAAGATGAATCAGCCCTTTCGCAGAAGGACATTATACCCAACATGTATATGGAATATATAGATGGTAAAAAAAAGTGACATAACCGATTGGTCCAGTTTTTGCAGACCCTAATATTTTCGCTAGAATTTATCTAAATCAAAGTTGATCTATAAAGGTCCCACCAAAAGATACTTGGTGATACTAGGTGGACCACATTAATGTAGGGTATGAATATAGAAACTTTTCTACATATATACTTACATTTACGTAGACAAATTTTGTTGTAGGGCTTTGCATATACAATGACCTAAGCTTGAAGCGAACGTATTCGGTTTAAAGCAGACAACTCAAAACTGTTTTTTGGATGTTATCGTTAAATGAATGCCCTTTAGAATTCACCGTACACATATACATACTAGTTCTGAAGAGTTACATACATACGTACACACACGCATATATACAAATACATTTACTAAAGTATTCTTTTACTCAGTTTTTTGTATTTGTACAAACATTTTATATTTAAATTGAATTTCCACACATAGAAGAAGAAGAAGACGAAAAAGAACAAACTCGGTAGAAAAACCTACAACAAACTTTAGAAAAAGTTTTCCTTCCCATTGGGAATACAATTTGATTTTACATCATTCAATTCAGCAACAGAGTATCCTTCAAACAAGCAAACAAATGACACTAACACACTTACATGACCAACATCCCATGGGGAAGGGGGGAAAATAGAAAAAGAATTGCTGCAATTTCTAGGTTAAAAATTAAGGCAAAACATGTAGATCGCGGCAGAGATAACTACAATGTAATTTCGTTATTTCAGATTTTTTATTTTTAAATATTATCATTCCGATCATACGAATATGCAATGAATATATAACCCATTAGAGATGGAAGTACAAATTTGGCAACATACCTTTAGAAAAACATAACATCACCTACAAGGTTTTTATATAAAAAAAAACAAGGGAAGAATGTTTAAGCCGAAAATATACTATTCTTCAACTTAGCCTGTTGTAAGCATTCCGATATTGCAATAGCAAAATACAATGATATCACAATTTTCAAAAAAAAAAATCGAATCTATAGAAAATCAAATATGCCACTATCAATTTGAACCGGTGGAAAATCTGTTATATTCCCAAAATTCCACCACTGTCTCAAGATATTGCGTATCAAAAGCATGCGTGTCGTTACAAATTCAAAGAAGTGGAAAAACAATGCACCTGAAATAATTAAATCCCATTAAAGATGTTGCCAAAATGCCAATAAGGTGGAAAAACATACTTGACGTCATCAAAGTACACGAGGCGACCATGATTTCTGCAAAGGTTAAACGCTCGTTGGGACTCTGGTTAATAGCCTCCATGCAAAAGAGAACTTGCTGCAATATAACATGACCAAGAGGTAGCAATGAAAAGCTGAAAAGTAAATTCTTTGCAATCGGTACTGCACACTGGTTGCAAAAGTTCATCATCTTCTGTCGCCAGCTCAACTTTTCGACCGGTATAATGAACGAAGTATTGCATATCTCACAGTGAATATTTCTGCGATGCATAATCCATCTTTTGAGGCATTGCAAATGAATGTGACCCTAAATAAAACAACGCAATTACCCATGAATATGCAATAATCGATTCCTACTTACTACTGTACCACGACAGAGACAAGGACTCTCCATTATATCCAAATCACTACGATTCCATCGACAAATGCGACAGGAATTTCCATTTTCATCGCAAGACATAACCGTTTCAATAGACTTGTGTTCCGTAATCGAGTTGTCGTCTTCTCGGGATACTATTATTACTGGGCGCAAAGTCATATCTTCATTTGTTACTGCCACGCTATTGAATAGACGTATAGCACTGACTTCAGAAAGAGATTGATCGGCTGTTTGATTGTTGGCCATCTTATTGTAACATTGCACGCTATTTTCGTATTTGATACGTAATTTTCTGTGAATTTGGATTTTTTATTAATTTTGTGTAAATATTAATTGAAAGACAACATTATTGTGAATTTTTATTTAAAATTTTTTGGAACAAAAAAAGAAAAGAAATTATGTCAACCATCAAACTAAAAAAATCTGAAACAAAGTAGACTAGCTTTCATATTAGTTCGTTCCAGAACCTAAAATAATCTAGAAATTCGAAAACATTGAACCAAATTTTAAGAGCACACAAAACAAAACGGCGATCTGTTTGTAAACTTCTTACTCGAGAAATTTGAACGAGTACAAATGGTGAACAGGAATATCAACTTCTGATTGGCTGTTGTGTTGATTTTGAAGTATTGCCATAATATTGACATATTTAGTAGATTTCCGTCCCCGGACTTTTCAAATTATTTTGTACTCTGAGAGCGAGTTTGACAATTTTTCCTATTACTAGCTTTACTATTAAAAACGTACTGGAACAGAACATTTATAATCGAGATATGAAGGGGTTATCTCAGTCTGTTTGGAAGATACAGTCAAAAACCTGGGCTTTGGACCTCCAATTTTGTTAAAAACTCCCTAAAAGTCGAACTTGGGTCCATTGTAGTCCCTCACCAATCTACAGTACAATTTGCCCTTTCTAAAATAGTGCGGTATGTGGCTGTATCTGTTCTGAATCAAACGATATGTGCCTTAGAACCCTACAAAATCACAGCTCAATGGAAAAGTATTTTCATAAGCTTTAAAATGATACTCACATAATCGGATCCACAGAACCGGGTACCCGTATCCGAACTTCTGGGTGAAATAACCGGGCACGTCCCCCAAAAAAAATATATCCCCATAATTAGGGTAAAAATACCTACATTTGGTATTTTTCACTAAACCAGAGTCAAGCCAACAATTTTCAGTCGTATTACATCAATTTACTAACTCCATATCTGGTGAAACAAATATTGGGTTAAAATATTAAGCAACTCACCCAAATTTATTTTGGTGGTGCCTAAACGAATAGAGCTAGTATATTAAGATTCGAAATTAGTACTGTTTATGTACAACAAATGAATGATATGTACTACAAATAGTAAATCTAATATTGAGTGAACGAATGGAGATAGAATCTTTAAACTTGGAATGCAAATCGAGAAAATTTATGAATAGTGCTAAATTAGTTTATTTAGTAACTAGTGGACAACTGAATCTTAAATACCCAAGATCTGTCTTAAATTAGTGAAATTTGGTATAGCAATTGCTATTGCAAAAATTGTTGACACTGTGGGGGAGGTAGGGGAGACTGGGGCACATTCGGCACTTTTTGTTTATAACTCTATATCTCAGTAATTATTCAACATATATAAAAACATAATGGATGTTTATTGTCCCCCGATACTGAATTATAAAATACAGTACCAAAAAGATATACAAAATTAGTATCAGTTAAACATTTTTACAGTTTTGTAAAAAAGTCAAATTCGCCAGATGAGCCCCAACCCGGGGTAGCTTCGGCATTTGTAGGGGCACATTCGGTACCATAGTCGTAGCCTGGTAATTATCATCGCCATCAGTTGGTTGAAATTCAGATCCTCTAAAGGCTCTATTTGATTTTAATACGCGATACAATGTTTGAATTTTAAGGCTATATTTTCTAGCGGCGGACGTTGACATCTCAAGGTCGCACACACCATCAGAAATAGAGTTTTTCTATCGCATTTTCGTCAACACATGGACGTTTGGTCTTATATATGTAATTTAATAAACCATATAAAAGGATAATTTTTAAAGACAAACTCAAAAACGTTTTAAGGAAATAATATTGCTCTACCCAAAGACACTGCGAATGTACCCCAAAGACACTTTTTACAGTTCTTACTGTTTTCTATCAATCTTCAAAAAAAAATTATATTTTTAATTATTTTTACAAGAATGCACATTCTAATTAACTTATTTTTAATAATACTGCCTTAAAATGTTATATATTATGTTTTGGTAAATTACATAAATAATAATTCCTTTGGATATATACTACATTTTAATAACGTAAATACTCTTTATATTAATACCTATAATCATATAAATACAGCAATAGATTGAATCAGTCTAATTTCTGTGTAAACATGATATAAGCTAAAAGACTTGACTGGCAACACTATTTTTTATTCCTCTTCATTTCTTGTTGGTTTGTCTCGGCAGCCGGTTTCTGTTTATTAAATATGCGGTCGGGTTTCGCGATTTCGGTTGTTTCCGTCAGTTAATTGCCTTACAAATCGTTCATTAACAATAATATTAATTTGTTAAACATCAATCAAATGAAAAACATTCCAATTTTGATAAAAAAAAAATTATTTTTCTTCGTTCATTATTTTGTGTTGTGTTGCTTTTTGATATTTTCATCTTTTTCAGTTTGCTCTTTTCCCGGAGCGGAGTGTGGTGATGTTTACGCCGTTACGTCCGTGTGTTTCTCGGTTGCAATGTTGAACAGAACTAAATTGAGAGTAAGTGTGGGAGAGCGTAAGTGAGAGATTATAATCAAAAATTACTGAGCAAAAGAGAAAAAAGAGATTACGTGTTTAGGCATCACCGCTATCGTACTATTTTGAGCATTAGTGCTCGGTTGTCACTGCAATGAATGTATCGATGTTTCGTGTGTTTTGATGAGCTGTAGTCTGTAGTTGGGAATGCGACCAACTAAAATTTGGGTGAGTTGCTTAATATTTTATCCTAACGATGGTGTCACCATAGATGGTAATTGTAAATTAATGCTGTTATTGACACTTGTTAAAGAAACGATAAATTAGTGTTTTATACGAATTTAAAATTAATTATGGAATCATTTTTTCTTTTTAAATTTTATTCAAGCTCAATTCACAAATCACGACTTACATTTTTTGCTTTTGTAATCAGACATGCAAATGTGAATATGTAAGATTTTCTTAAACTGCAGGGCGTGTGGTATGTGTGTTCGGCAAACAAATGAATTCCGAAATTCAATCACAATAAAATGAGTTTGTTTATGGATATCTCGACATACAATGTATTGTATTATGTATTGTATTGTATTATGATCTTAATTCAGAGGTGTGAGTTCCATACACGTAGCGATATTCACTCGTACACTTGGGTGTGTGTGTGTTAATATTTGAATAATAACAGCTAGAACAACAGCAGCAAAATGCAAAGGACAAATAAAAGTGCAAACGACAAGCAAGCAAATAAATGTTACTTTCTTTCATTCGTTTCGTTGTAGCATTTCTCTGAACGCACAGCCATGCACGCACTTTCGGTAAATATACACATATACATATAAACAAACACTGTACGATAGACACCAATGAACACCCAATGAAATAAACCCATCTACTTAACATATCCACATTTATGTACATATGCTTATATGTATGTATGTATGTTTGTGTGCTATAAACATGTACACTGGGTTTATCAAATGAATTCTATTAGACATTGTCGTTTCTCCTTCTGTTTTTCGAGCACTTGCTGTATTGTTGTTGGCATTTACAACAGTATGCGAGTGCTCCACTTAGATATGAGATATTTCATGACTGTATAGTATATATTAATGTCTTAAAATATATTCTTCGTGAGGATTCCGTGTGAACTTTATTTTCGTTTTTACGCATCGGAAATTGCTCATCTCTTGGCAATTTTGAGGGATACTGAAATGTAATTGTTTTAAATATGTCAATCTATATTAAGATCAATATCCAAAATTATAAAAAAAGTAAAATGTACACTCACAAGTTAATATGATGGATATCCCATATTCGAAATAATCAACACATAATCTCGCAAAAATACATTTGATTTGAGTCTCACACTTGTGGCCGAATAGAAACAATTGTCAGAATGGGCGGTATGAGATATGACGGCATATAAATACTTGAAAGTGTTTATTGATATAATCGCACGTACTTAGATAAAAACATGTTTCTTTGCGCCCAATTTACATACGCAAAATATTAGATATACATTTATACAAACACACGCACACACACATGTGTAAATAGGTATAATATGTGCTGGCTACGGCTCCATTCCGAATCCAATTTAAATGAAAACGTAAATCGGCACAGCAAAACGTATGCCGTGCTGCCTTGTCGATGAAATCTTATTGGAATTTTCACGATATTTCGTGATACTAAGCACAGCACTTGGCAATGTATGTGTGAATCTGTGTATGTATGCATGTCCTTGATTTTGAAATTGTTTTCTATGATTGGCCTAGACAAGGCAAGTCACAACATGATATAAATTAAATGTTAAAGACATTTGATTTGCGAAGAAATGTTATTTCGTGATTCAATTGAGATTGTGAGGGAAACACTGATTTAACTAGGTATGGGAGATGTTTGTATGTTTTTTTTTTTTTTTTGTGTTTATGAAGGTGCGTAAGAATTTGTCATAAATATTACCTATGCGTGTATATTTCAGTTCTTAAATACAATAAAATTGGGTAATATGTAGTATAGTGATATCCTTGGATATGTTGCAAATACCACATATCCTAGTGTCCACTGTTCTGGATTTTTCTCACTTGAAACATAGAACGAAATGTTCTTAGCCTTCTCTAAAAAGAGTAAAATTCTACTGATCAATATCATGTATTAGTTCTCGAACATGTCTCATCATTTTCGCAGGTTGAGATCGAAGCTAGACATTTACAATTATCGTGGTGTCAGTTTTCAATACACCGGAATACTCCATGACTGTGTATTCTAACTTTGGAAGGATTTCGATATTGAAATTCCTTTGAGTTTCTCAATCAGGCTTAAAGTCTCTAGGAATTTTTAAAAATGCTCCTATTTCTCGAAACCACCCATGATTTTTTAATAATCACCTCTGATTACATCAAACAAACAAAGGTATGCGATTTGGTTTTAGTTTTCTTATTATTTAATTTTATTATTTATTATTGGAAAACAAAAACATAACGTATTCAGAAATAAAAACAAAATGTA